GGTTTCAAAATCATTGCACAGTTACCAGAGTTAAATGATGTAGAAATATTTTTTTTAACCCATCTCTGCTATCACCTAAAAGGCAGCAGATTTTAATGCGAGATTTGACTTCCTTCAACAAGCTTCAGATCATAAAGCCCATTCAGAATATAAACCAAAGCAGTGGTGTAATAAGATGGAACTGATTAGCTATACAAACTGGACTTCAGCAGCAAATGTTGCTCTGAAGAGAGCTGGTGGTGTTAAATGCAATCTGGTTTTGCCTGAGGTTTTTGAACCCGTCAATCCACCTGAAACTGCACTGACCAGTGTGTTCCTCTGTCACCTAAGTATATTAAAGTATCTGAAAACTTTACAATGCTTTGATAGATATGTAAACAATACATTTTATGAACACAAATAAGGTGTACAAACTACATTCCTTACTCTTGTTGTTCATATTAATGGCTAAAGTGCCTGCAGCTTTTTCTGTGTTGGGCTTAGAAAAATTTTGTATAGCTTGTATCACTGAAAAGTCTGTAGGCACTCTCCCATTACCCTAGCAGAAAAATCTCTCAGAGTTTATTAACCTGTGGAAGTTTGCCTTTTAGGACTAAAATAGAAATGTTAATGGGGCTCTTGATTTGTTTCAAATACTTCCTTACCGTATCGTCATTTAGAACTCCAGTAACATCAAGAGGCTGGGTAGCTATGGATTGGTAGTTCCTGCTTCAAAGATCTTGAAGTCCTGGGTTTTAGTTCTTCAGACACAAAAAGGGCATAAAATTACATCAGTAAAAAAGCTACATATTAAAGAATTGGCTTTCCTGTTTTCTACAGACACTTGACTGTCCAAGTTCTGATTCTGAAAATATAGTGTATTATATTTTCCCTGGCAATACCTTACCTCAAAATCTTTTAAACTGCTCCCAGAAATAATAGCTGAACAGCTGCCAAATCTGAATTATTCCAATACTGCTCTATTTGATCTCAAGGCAGTCAGGCTCTGCATAGTGTTCATGCTCTTCTCCTGAAAGAAATGTTGAAATAAGTTCAAAGCTTCAGGCAGGTGTTGTGACTTAAACCCAGCCAGTAACTAAGTACTACACATCCATTCACTCACTCCCCTCCCTCCACCTGAGCTCCAGGCAGGATGGGGAGGAGAATTGAAAGAATGTGAATCCCATGGGTTGAGATAAGAACAGTCCAGTAACTAAGTTACAATACAAAACCACTACCTACTACCACCCATAATAATAAGGCTAAGGGAAATAAAGGGAGAGAATATAAAACTAAAAGGGGAAAGAAAACAATAAACACAAGTGATGCACAATACAATTGCTCGCCACCCACCGACCGATACCAGGCCCAACCTGAGCAACGATCTGGGCCTTCTGGGCGACTCCCTCCACTTTATATACTGGACATGATGTGCTGCTGTATGGAATACCCCTTTGGCTACATTGGGTCAGATGTCCTGTCTGCTTCCTCCCAGCTTCCCTTGTTCCTCCTCACTGGCAGAGCACGAAAGACTAAAATGTCCTTGATCAGAGTAAGCGCTACTTAGCAACAACTAAAACATGGGTGTGTTATCAGCATTGTTCTCAGACTAAAGCCAAAGAACAGCTCTACACCAGCTACTAGGAAGAAAATTAACTCTACCCCACCTGAAACCAGGACAGCAGGGAAAACCAAAAGAAATAGAAATAGAAACCTTTTTTCAAGTTTTTCACAAATTACAGTATAGATTACATATTCACTTCCAAAATGCAGGGATAGGCCACAAAGGATAAAAACATCACATTGCTTCCTGATGTCTCTTAAAATGAAGCTAGGTCAAAGAAGATGATATTCACAACACCCAAGCTGCCTTTTTTTGATTTTTTTAGAAGAGTTTATTCTGTAAGAGCAAAGGGTCTTCTGCCATCTCTGAGTCAATCTCAGAAGTACTTGTCCTTTTTCCTTGACTAAAAAGGAACAAAGGAATGATATATCTTTCCTGAGTCCTCCCTACTAGAGACATTTTTCTTTTCTCCTCCAATATATATATACCAAGTAATTAAAAAAATAATTCAGCATTTCTAGTCCCAGTGAGCTCTTTTTGTGTTTCTAATCACCTCATGCCTTCCATTCTCTGACTGACAAGAGGAAAAGAAAAAGACAGTTATTCTTCAGGCAGGTGAAGGCTGCCATTTTATTTCTGTACAAAGAATAAGGATGAAATTCCTAAGTGTTGCAGATGTCAACCAGTCATTCTATCTTAAAATAACCTGAAAATCTACTCATCCAAAGAGAACTGATGAAAAATTTGACCTGCTTAGGAGATGTTTTTTTTAATGGCTATTTTAAGAATATAGAATTAAGAGAACTCAATATGAACAAGAGCATGTTCTCTGTGAATGTCTACTTAAGGGAAACATGGTATCAAACATAATATTAAAAAATATTTAAAACTGAGGAACAAAATAAATGGGAAAATATTTTAAGATCTGTGATGCTTTAAGCAATGTGAAGCACTGTTCCAGTGGCTTTACCACAAGAATAATTATAACTGGTATTTTTCTTACAACTTCAATTCCCTGAGCTCACATGGTAATAAAAGGTTTTCAGATTTCATTATTTTTTATTCCTCTGAGTTGCAAAGAAACAATGAAAATATTTATCCTAAAGGATGAAAACCAGAAGGCAGATACTAGGAACTTACCTATTAAGAACCATTAATCATTAAAAAGTAATCTTCTCTGATTTGATTTTTTCCTTTTTTTTCCTTATTTTTTGAGGACCAATGTCTGAGTTTTGAATGCTGGATATTGGCAACTCTGGATTGCTATCAAATTAATGTTCATGGCTAGTTAACAGACTTTCTCACAAACATTTAATGTTATATTATAGCTAATACTAGGGGTTCATTACTTAATTGTGAACTGAGCTATCTGAGATCCAAAAAGTGAAATATTATTTGAGGAACTACATAAAGATATTTTTCAGCCTTGTCAAAACTTCCTCAGAAATATAAACTCTGGATATTTCACAAGTGACTAGATTGTACGTGTGCATAAAGATTGTGGAATTTTAAGATAAGAAAAAAAGTAGTAGTTCAGGAAATACGCTTCTTTAGGGAATGTATGTGCTATTTTACAGTCCCACTAACTTTCAGCAACTACTGTCAGTGTGAATGATTGAAAACAAATAGTACTAAAGTCTCTCTCTCTCTTGAATCTATTTATATAAGACATCCATATACAAAGACACATTCACGTATGTCATTCAAAATCATTACACATCTTCATATAGCTGCAAGGCTTTGAAAAAACACATGGTAGAACTAAACACCTAGTGGTTCAATAGTAGCTTGTCAAAAAAAAAAAAAAGTAACTCAGTGTAAAATGTTAATACTTCCCTTCCTGTCTTTTATGTTGAATAAATTATTAATTTGCCATTTAACAGCTAAATGTGCATATTTAATGCTTTTTTTAAGATAAATAATTATTTTATGAAACTTGAAGTATTTACACTGGATTTGTATGACTTTTTTTCTATGCTGATAGTTTAAACACTGTCATATAATACACAGTGATTGCTATTGCCTTGTCTAAGAGAAGGTTGTAAAAACATGTCTCATTAATTTTATAAGGTCATCTAATTGATGAGTAGCAGAGATTTCAGCTCACAGCTGGAAAACAAGCTGCTCCCTGGGGCTCATGAGCTTAAGCTGAGCGCAGGCATCCTCCATGCTCTGGGCAGGAATCTAGCTGTAGTGCCCACCAGTGGGCATGTTGCACCCGGTCCCCCCCTTTGGCATTGCTGCTATTTTTACATGCACAAGCAAATATTAACTGCAATGCAGAAGGGAAAAAAAAATCACTTAAATCTCAGTGCAAGACTGTCACCAAGTTTCATTGAACTGGAAGTGATTATATATGAATAGGTCAATTCTACCTTGTGCCACAAGTAGAAAAGCTGTACAAACACAGAAAGAAGATATGAAAATTTGAATCAAGGTATAAACAGAATTATCCCACACTGATGTTTTCAAACTTGTGTTATAGAAGATTTCTCTGTTTCTTACGTATTTGATGGCCCTGGTAAAAGAAATCATACCAATGAACACTTACTTACTGAAATGAGATTCTTGGTATGTGAGTTTGTTCGAAGTGAAATGAGCAATATCAAAATGACATTAACTTATCTGGATTTCATCTATAAATTTCAATCACTGGGGAACAAAACCCTTCATATAAACCTCATATGAAAGAATTCCTGTTATAGTAACCTATTAAACAAAGCTCTCAGTTTTATCTTATGATTCTTGCTGTTCAGACTTTGAGCCTTCAGTCAAATGGATCAGATACAATGCAGTCTTTCCTCTTGGCAGTGTGTTAAAGGAGGGAGATTTACCAGGTTGATTATAAAGACATTTTTCATATGCTCACATCAGTTTTGGAAAGTAGTTCTTGTATTGTGTATGATACCATTATTCTTTTTTTTCCCTACTTTTAGTAAAGAACATACCAGTGGAATATAAGAGCAATCAAATTAATTAAAATGATAGTAAAAAAATGAAGCACTTTAAACCTTTCAATTAAAATGATAGTAAAAAAATGAAGTATCTTAAACCTTTCTTTTATGATATAATATCAAGTTACATGATTTTATGTGATTTAATAAAAATGTTGACGCAAGATTTTTCTTTTGTAAAAGCCTAAAGCTTTTTCTCGATGTTTTCTAAGAATTTTTAACTTCTTAGTTTTCTTTTGAGAAAAAGTTTATGAAATTGAAGCCAAAGATGTTTCCAAAGCTGATATGTATTTGTCAGCATCACAATGAAAAAGGAGGATGAATAAAAGACTATAATATATTCTTACATGTAATAATGTTGCTTACAGCAAGCTGTACCACATGTCAAAAAGGATGACAGAAAACCCTGTTGGCCTTGCTGAAACATTTATTATTTAAATAGATGTTGACAACACTTTCTGAAGAAAAAAAAGAAAAACACCCACAAAAAAACACCCTCTATTTGTAGCTGTGCTTGCATTATGCCAAACAATAACGTGGGATATTTAAAACTAGGAGAAATTCTGGTAATGACATAACTAGCACTAGGAGCACTAAGTGAGAACCTGAAAACATATACTACAGACGCTAAAGGTCCAATCGTATTTTCAGAATGTAATACCAATATTACTAATAACCCCAGTGAGAGACCAGTCAAGGAGTCTGTTTCAAAAGTGAACAATACCCAGAGAATTTGTCCTTATCTCTATCACCTTGCACAGCACTACTGGATTTCCCTGTGCTCTTTAGCTAGTGTAATATGGGTAAATACTTCCTGTCAACAGAATTGTTGTAGTGATTAATACCAGTGCCAAAATTCCAGCTCTTTCTAAAGTGATCAGTATAAGCAGTTGACATTTCCAGAGTCTATGCACTTGATAGTTGATTGTGTATTTATGAGCATCATATATGCTTAATGTTACAGTAGAAAAATACAAGCAGCTCTTGAAATATCTTTACTCCTCCTCCAAGTGACATTCATATAGCACTGTAAGAAATCTCATAAAAGAAGGAGACTTGGAAATATGCTCAAAACTCCTGAAAGGTGTAGGGCAAGGAACACAACTACAATTTAAAAGTATCAACAGGAATAGTCAAGTGTTTATTGTTATACACATGCTTACATATCTCACTGAATCAAAATCATAGTTCCCTTCTTTCTTTTTAGCTAAATTCTGAATGTACAACAAATCAGCTCTTCCTATACTTTGCATTTTCCATTGCTTTTAAATCATGAGTACCAGAACAACATATAAACATTAAAATGTGGAGGGGGGAGTTTCAGTCATAGTCAGAAAAGCAATTTCTTCTTGTAAAAAATGGACTCACAGGTGAAAATGATAGACATGAAGATGATACTGATGGCTGGGCAATGGCCAAGTAGCAAAAATTCTTAGGTTTCATTGCATGTAGGTGGTAACATAGGCTTTTCTCTCTCCATAGACAAGTAGCTGAATTAGTGCTTTCTGCTGACAGAAAAAAAACTGTGAAAACAGGAACAAATGAATTTTCCCTCCAGAATTCCAGATCTGGGATATAGCTAAACTGAGGTATTTGCACTTCAACAGCCAGTGAAAACTTTTCTGAAATTAAGATTAGAAATGTAATGAAATATATGGTCAGTTGTGCAGTGTTTCAAGAGACATACCACACGGACACTACAAAAATTCAGCTTAGAGGTGACAAGTAAGAAGTAAATTGCTTTCAGAAACAGATGCTTTCAGAGGTGATGTCAACACTGAATTGACTGATGAGGGGACACAAGAACATCTGTGATGCTTTTAAACCTTTCCTGGTAACATACCAAGTTCAGGTGCATCCTTGTGCTAATTTCACCTGAAGGGCAGTAATGAACTCCAGCAATGCCTAGGGTCACACATATCTATTCAGTTGTGAGCAAGGCTTTGAGGGAAGTCCTGGAGTAGCCTGCAAAACTCAGCACATATATATCAAAAAGACAACAGAATTTTGGCTTAACTCACACTCCTGATGATACTAGTCTGTGCAAAAATGAATAAACCTGTTTCGTATAGTTAATTATACCTTATAGACAATGGCTACATCTTAGTCAGTTCATACAATTAAATATTTACAATATTCTAAGGTTTGTTAGTGTTTCAATATACTCCCCACTTATTCCTTCCTCTTTCTTTCCCCCCATGGTCCTTTTCTCAACAGTGTAGCAAATAGAAATTCACAATAGGTATAATTGAGTTAGTATTATGCAACTGAATTTTTTTATACACCCACATCAACTGGAAATCTTCAGGAGTTCACTGCTGCTGCCCAGCCAGTAACAAAGCTTTTGCATCCACTACTGATTCTGTAATGGTATTTAAATTATTTCTAACATCCTCCTACCAAAATGCTCACACCATCCTTTAATTATACCTCAATCTTCTTGTATTTCCACCCTCCACAACAGTCGTTTGCACAATGATTTGTATTCATCCTTGTGCCCTGTGTTCTGCCTTCACTGTTCCATTTTATTTTGAATACAGACTTGTAAAGACCTTAATTTCCATTTCTTAAATTGAAGCATAAGATTTGCTCTAAAAAAGGTGTGTGTTAACTTCAGATGCTTTTAAATCCCTGGAACCTAATCATTTGCAGTCTTAGGCCTGATAAAAGAATTTCACAGTGTTTGGAGATATCTAAAAATTTTCAGTGAAAAGTAACACCCTGACAAACTACTTTACTTAAAAAAAATTCTGCTTTCAGAACATATAAGAGCTGAGTACACTTTTAATCTTTCTGGACATAAAAAGTATAAAACTGCAACGAAGTCAACCCAACCCAAAACAAAACCAAAAATAAACAAAACAAAAAACAAAACACCCAAACCCAAAAAACCCAACCAAAACCCCCAAATTAGATGGAATATAAATCACTTACTTTAATCCAAAAGAGGATATTACTGACCAATATGTATTTTTGCAGTTTCTTACATGTTTGCAAGACTGGCTTTTATTTCTCCTTCCTGTATTAAACTTTAATCAGAGGCATCTATTATTTTGGAAAAAGAAAAGATAAACTGTTTTTAAAAAGAATCACAATTCTGTGATTCTTGAATTGCTTGAAAACATTTAACATATAATGAGATAGATGATAGGAGGTGTAGGTTAAATTCATCAGTGCAGATGGTTCTGGTGCATAAGTTTGCAGCAGAGCTAGAGAAAATATAGGCTGATATTTTTATTCCTTGACACTAATGGTTTGACTTGCTTTTATTTTCAAATGAAAATATATTTGAAAATATTTTTCTAAAGATATATAATTGGACAGAACTGGGAAACTTGTTAACAGATTCTAAGGCAACAGTGAAAAATGCAGCAAACTTTAATTTATTTCAATATTCAGTGAAAATACTAAACAGAGTAGGTTTTTACATAAAGATGGAGGCAGAACATATATATGTATGTGTAAATTTTGAATGTGAACTACTTTGAATGAAAGCCTTAAAAAGTCTTTCAGACTTTTTCTACTCATTTTTAGACCTCTAGTTGTATGAAGTTAATATACAAGTCCTTTGTAGAATTTAAATTAAATGAATATGAAATGATTCAGCGTAATTATTCATTGCCAGGAACAATAACATTCATCTTATGTCTAGCAGAGTTCTTTACAGTGGCCTCCAAAAAATTAATGGAATAGAATTCACTTAGCATTACTACCTTAAAATCACTGTGTAACAAAGATTACATTCAAAGCCTACTTCTTAAGCTATTTATATGACCCTACACCCCACTAACTGTAGGAAACACACTTTTCTGTAAGAGCAGAGAAAATTATTACCCTTTTGCTGTGATGAATTGAAAAATTCTCAATTATTTTTATTTTTTTTTTCCTAAGAGCACTCCTTTATGTCTTCCTTACTGACAATTTTTGCATCTTTCTTTTCAGTCCCTTTCCTATTTGCTGAAATAGGAACTCTTCTGTTAGTAATGTCAAATGTTGCATAAAGGCAACAACCACAGTCAAATCCAAATATTTTACATTGAAGTCCAACAGCCAAAGCAAGCCACAAAGGCCCATATGCCAAAAAACAAACATTAATAGAAAAACACAGGTACGTTCAGAGCAGATATTAATTCTGTAGAATACTCAAAATCTGAAGACATAAATTCTATTAAATGTTGTCAGGATAGTATCTAAAGATGGCTTTTTTTTTTTGAAAGCCTATCTGAAGATATTTGCCTATGATGAGCATCTCACTGCTTCAGATGAACAGAAGAAAGATTACTGAAGAAGCTTCACATTAATGCCTACAGACATGTAATTAATTTACAAAGTAACCCAGTGGGAACCCACTGAAGACCTTCAGAAGAACACCAATTTACTTATCTTGTCTGCCGATGCCATGTGTATAAATGAGCACAGCTTCTGAGCACTTCTTTGAAGAAAGATGTCACCCTTAAAAGGAATCTCATATATATAGCATATTTATCTGTCACCTTAAGTCAGCTGTCCACTATTTATCCACATAAGAATGTTTTCCAACTAAGATGTTTCATATGATCTAGACATAAAGGTATACAGATTTCTCTCAATAACATCCCACTTCACATTGTGACTGCACATATTTAAAAGCAAGGATGACTTCTAACAACATAAATGTTGGGTAATTAATACCTACTGGAATTTACTTCAAATAGGATTAATCAAGTAATATTTTTTTCCTTGTAATTATTAATACATGACCTATTTGGTCCATTAGAATATCTTACTCTAAACCATGTGTGAAAATCTAATCCTTTTTGAAATAAATTAATCTATGCAGATTTGAGACAAGCTTACGAAATTCTATCTGCATTTTAATATTTAGAAGGGACTTATTTGCAGCAAAAAGACATAATTGTTATATAAAAAGTTTCTGTACATATGTGGAGGTGGCTGGAAGATAAAAAGCATAGTGTATTCAGCACAGTCTTCATAAGACAATCAAACACTCCAGTAGACAAACATGTTATTGGAAACAATTTTGTGTAATGGTTTATTTTTCAATCCATGTAATTTAGTCCAACAAATTAGCATAGATTCAAGAGAGATAAATTTGTTTTTGCAGACTATCTGAAAATAATGATTATAATTCAAATATTTATTAGGAAATGTCCCTTTACTAGCTTTTACAGGAACACTTCCACAGAAAATTCCACATCAAAAGGACTGTGGATAACAAAGTCTTAACTTGTAAATCAGGTGGAAATGGAGAGATTATTCTGCTGCTAGATGCAGCCCTCTCCTCTATCCCCAAGGATCAGGAGCTGAAGCTATCAATGTAAGTCTGTGCTGTTTGCTCCTCTGGAAAATTACTCTCGTGTCTTTTCTTTACTACCTGAATAAAACTTTTCCCTGAAGAGCTAAAATTCTCAAATTGGAAAATGCAAATGGTTTAGGACGATGTTATTCAATTCCACAAGTAATATTTCTCCAATTTCTGTTCCAAAAAATTGTGCGTTGGGCCAAAGCAGACATCAAGATTAATATCCCAATTGGCAAAGATTAATAAATAAATAAAAAAATCCAGCAAACTTCTCTTGAAGAGGATTTCAGACAAAAATGCTCAAATTATCATTTAAACCTGGAGAATATCCAACATTCATGTAAATTTTCATATAATACCACCATAACCAAAAAAACATTTTGGTTTATTCTCTAAATCATAATATTAATTTATAAAACAAACAAAAAAAAGTGCCTATTTAAAAGTCTGTTTTGAGACAGTGAAAAGCAGAAGTTTTATGTCAGGACATAAGTTTACAAAAGGAGATGGAAAATGGCATTTGCAAACACACTTTTTTTAACAGACATTACACTAGGAGACAGAGAATTCAATTTATTTATTTGCTAAGAGATGCTTATAGACAAATAGATGAGGAATGTGGAAAATTATGGTAATTTCCTAGGAAGTATGAATATGGCTGTGGTTTCCAGATGTCCCATGGTAGCGTGTAATAAGGAGAATAAACCTTGAAGATGCAAAACACTGGTGACTGAGGCAACGAAGGTGACTGCATCACTGACAGCTGCAAAGTATCTCTGGCTAGGAAGAAAAAGTTGTTTTGAAAGCATGGTAAAACAAAGAAGCATGGAGCTTGTTTCATGCAGATATACAAATTTTAGTTCATTTTATTAATTCATCCAGTCACCTTCACATTAATTGCACCCTCCACCTGAGCCAGACCTGACAAATCCAACTGATGAGAACCAATCTGACACCAAACAAACTAATAAAATAGTCACCGTTCTTCTCACAGGTGTGAAGGAAGGAGGAATGGGATCTGTGCTGTTTGCTTGTACTTTTACTACATTATAACAGCATCTAGCTCAGCAATTAGGCCTATTTAAGTGGCTTGTGACTATAGGACAAAAGTTACATATTTTTCCTTAATAATTGAATAACTATCCCGGTATATTACAGATGTGTAAGCCAAGCTATAGTTTCAAGTCTGTATACTACTTTGTAAAGGTTTAATGCGAGATTCCTCTTTAATATACTTTCTAGTTTTTAACATCACTTTCTCCCTCATATATTATTACAATGTAATAATTCCTGTAGAAGTATGCTGTGAAGCTGTGGAAACCACACTTTTTATCTTACATCCACAAAAAGCACAAGGGGAATTTAATAGCATCATTTGGGTCTGAAACACTGACTTTAAAGTGATAACCTCCCAAATCATTGCCCCAGCCTTACTATACTCACTAATAACAATTCACACTATTACAGATGTAACTAAAATAGGGATCAAAAAATAATTAACTTTTGCTGTTGACATCCTCTGATGAGACAGCCCATAGAGGACCGGATTAAGAAATATGCTACAGAGCATTGCACACACAAAAAAAAAATTGTAGTCATGCAGATGGTCACAAAAAGACTATTGTGCTGGGTCTGCAACACTTGGAACATGGAAAAGAGTTTTGAAATGGCCTAAAACAGGAGTCAGAACCCTTTGTTAGGAAAAAGCTGAGTGCTTCATTCCTTTGTAGAGACTGAAAATAACTATAGCAAAATAGCTATAAACACCTATTTTCTAGGTGTTTAGTACTTTATTTACCCCCAATTCATCTTCATTAAGATCCTTAATTATCATATAAACAAATTCTTCAGTAACATTTCACCTAGAAACAGCTCCAAATCATTGCTTGTTGTGGCATTTCACAACACGAACTCAAGTTGATGCAAAGAATCAAATCTTCGATTATTACCTCCAAGCCCTTTTTACCCTCTTGTTCGGTACTTTCCCAACCTGCACATACATACAACTTTCAATCCCCTTGGCCCCTGTAAAGCTCTCCAGGTAATTAGTCCAATCACAATGTTCCAAACCCTCTCACAACCCCCCACATCCTCTGGCCTTCAATGCCCCGGATCATCACCCCAAGCCTTGTCAAAGCATCAGAACTCATTCCCAACCTGTTCTTCATGCAAATCTTATTGCCTTCACTCCCCACAGCCTGTGAATTGCCACACTTTTGTCCTACAGCAAATTACTCCAGACCTTCTAATAGTTGTTTTTCTTTTTGATTTAGCAATTTTTCTTCCTTTTCTTTTAATGAATTCATTGTTGAACATCAACCACACCTTAAGATGCTTAACTATGAATTAGTTCAGAAAAAGGCACACAAACACATGGTGTTAAGAGGTCCTAAAGTCCTATCAAAACTTGAATTAAGACAAAGTTATTCCAGATACAAAAGAAAAACAGCATTTCCACCAGAGTGGAAGACAGGCAAGACACCAGGACAGGAAGAGGGGCAGAGCAACCTTAACTTGACTGAATGCTTTGACAGGCACTTAAAGCTGCTCTGCCACCCAGGAAAAAACTGGGGACTTGGTCCTGTTATCTACCTTGATGTCAGCACTGGATTTCACTCAAACAAACAGATTTGCATATAAATGAATTTTAGAAAAAAATAATTTTAAAAATACAGTGCACATTTCTCACTTCTGTCTTCTGCACCTGGTCTGGGTATTTC